TGGGAGCCACAGAGCCTCGGCTGGGGGGCACAGGGCTTTGGGTGGGGGGCAAAGGGCAGTAGGACTGGGAGGCAAAGGCTTTGGGTGGGGGCAAGGGGCAGCAGGGCTGGGAGGCAGAAGCTGTGGGGGGGGCAAGGGGCAGCAAGGCTGAAGGGAAGGGGCAGTGGGGCCAGATTTGGGTGGGAGGCAAGGGGCAGCAGGGCTGGGGGGAAGGGGAAGTAGGGCTGGGGGGCAGAGGCTTTGGGTGGGGGGCAAGGGGCACAAGCAGAGCATCCTGCCATGTACCCCTTGCCCTTATTTTGTTTTTCTGCCATGCTGGCACTCTGGCACCTTCTGAGGTAGGCACTGTGGTGTTTTTCATCACTCCAGCCAAAAAACGTTGCCTACCCCTGCCATATGGTATCTCCTGGGACAGAGGTATGCAGGGCAGGTGGAACTGTCCGATATGCCTCTGTTTTCAAGAGGCGCATGGGGGGTTGGACCAGGAAGGCTGTGCCTAGCACTGCCCCTGCACCTCCATGCTGGCTGGCTCTATCCCTACTCCAAGTGCCACCCAGCACTGGAGGCACTAGGTAGTGTGGCTCTCTGGAGGTTTCCAGGACCTATCACCCTCAAATGTGCCTGCTTTGGCAGGAGGAGCAGGCACGGAGGTTTCTGTGGAGCAGTGTTTCAGGCTGTCCTCCATGACTGGTCCCTGAGGCCGGCTAGCTCCTGGGAGCCGGATGCACAGGAGAGCAGGAAGCTGGAGGAAGAGAGGCAGTTTCTTGCAGGGGAAACTGATCTGGGGAGGCTGCTTCCCAGGGATACAGGATGCAGGAGCTGCATTGGCTGACAGTTTAAATGTGCATATTACTGTCTTGGTCAGCACCAAGCACAGGAGGGAGCAGCCCTTGGTGGGATGGCAGCAAAGAGTCCCAGAAATAGGACCCTGCTGGAAGGCAACCTTCCCTTTCCTTTAACAAAACCCATGAAAGCACTGCAGGGCTCCTAAGAGGCAGAATTGCCTAGAGTAGATGGCAACTTCAGAAAAGCCTCCTGGCACATCCATTACCCCTGCCTGCTGCTCTGTGTTATCTAATTTCAGAAATGTAACTGAAAACTCGAACAAGTATCAGTTGGAGAAGAGAGAGGCAGAGTGTAAGTGTGCACGTAGGGCAGGGAGGCAATGGAGTCTGCACCTTGTCACCAATGATTTATACAGGACCATCCCTGCTTGCAGACAGGGACCCTGGTCTTCAGAGAGCAGAGGCTCAAGACTTCTGGAAAGTCAGGTCCCTTTAAAATAGCTCAACTGGACCCTGCCAAAACTGAAGCGCCTAGAATAGTGATTCTTAACTGGAGTGCCCCTGCAATTTATGAATCAAGCCAAAGGTAGCAGGGGGAGGTCATAGCTCCCTTGTGTGGGGAAAAGAAGGGACTAACCCTGTCTGTAACCACAGAGGGTGCTGCTAAATTCAGAAAATGTATGGAGGGGGGTGCCTTTAGTCTAAAAAGGTTGAGAACCACTGTCATCATCCTTAGTTTTATAGTACATGCCAAATATATCAATTCTTTAAATGCATCTTTGTAATATTTGCTACAAAGAAATAACTGAACAAAGTGTTAATCATGCACAAAATGCATGCCTTGGACATGACAGTCCCAATTTGGTTACATTCATTCTGAGCATTAAATGTTTACTTTTTTTTATTCATGGCACTATAACTAGACATAAGGTAGATAAACTTTATTAAATTTATTTTCCATTTTACTAAGGGAAATGGTAAAAAGCCCATAATTTGGTATGTTACTCTCAACATTTGAACCCACTTAAATGACAAAAATAATGATTGCATAGGTACTAGATGTGAGACCAAGTCTACTGGAGGCAACAGAAGTTTT